TATATATATATATATAAATAAGTTGATACAGAATTAATTCTAACTGAAAATAGTCATTTTTAAACACATGTCCCAATTCCTGATAAGGATGTCCCAATTATTGTACCAGCTAAAAATTTGTAAAATTCTTAAATTAAATCTTTTGAATGACTATTAATGATATAGATAATATATTTTTTTATATTTAATGAAATATAATAGGGAAGGGTTGATAAAATCCAAAAAATAAGTAGCCTATAACCATCTACGAAAAATTCTGCGTCGTATGGTAGCAGTCCCGTCCCGATAGCTTCAGTAGTTTTGACGTCAACTTTAGTCAAAGGAACCCTATTTTGCTTTTATATAGATAAATAAAATTAATTACTGGATCAATTTATTCTGTTTAATGTTTTTTAGTAAAACCCTCTCGACTAATTTATTTTTCAATATTGATGCAAATTGAAAAACATACATATGAATTTAATTCATACATCACAACAATATTGAATCTATTTACAGCGGACTATTTTTGCAATGTAATTTTTTTAAAAGTTCCACCGGATTTGCGACACAATAACGTATGCGAGGGATGAGAATAAAAAACTCTAAAACGGATAGAATGTTATCGAGCGAATCTTTTCAGTAGACATACATATATATACATGTATATGTCTATAATATAAAACTAAGAAAAGCGGAGTCGTATCTACATCTACATCTCGTGTATCTATCTATATATGTTACCTGAAAATCCATACATAGTTTTGTTCTGGTCTTTATTTAGCGGAGCATCTGCGGGTGGTAAAGTCGTCAACAAAGAGTCAAAGACACGTGTCTTTTTGATTCATTCAACATCCGAGTCTATTCTTCCATGGCCTTTCGCATCTTACAAATAAATAACTATTTGGATTATTCTTTTTTTGTGTTTATGACAAACAAACTTTGCGCAGGAACGAGCCTGACTTTTTAGTGGCCTTTGGTTTAAATCGACTTTTATTGCACGCCTCTAGCGTGAAGTTTAAGATTAAAAAAAAAAATTATAATATAATTTAACAAGTACAAATTTATTTTTTAAAAAATGTATAATTATGCTTAATAAAAAATATTTACCAACTTGATTTTTTTAGTAACGCCCGCAGCAATCTTAGTAACGCCCCTTAGCAATCGTTGCCTAGCAACAACCATTTAGTAACGCCCCTTAGCAACTGTTGCCTAGCAACAACCATTTAGCAACGCCCCTTAGCATCTGTTACCTAGCAACGCCCTTAGAAACATTCTATAGCAATAATTATTTAAAAACTAATGTCTAGAAACGCCTCTAACAATAAGTCCTTAGCAACGATTGCTAAGAAACGCCCCTAGCAACAACTCCATAGCAACTGTCATCTGGGAACGCCCCTAGTGATTGTTGCTTCGCAACCTATTGTAGTAACAACTTTATAGCAACTACTGTCTAAAAACACCCTTAGGAACAATTCCTTAGCAACCATTGCTTAGAAACGCCCTTAGCAACAACCACATAGCAACTAACATCTAGGAACGCCCTTAATGACTGTTGCTTCGCAATAATAACTTAACAACGCCCCTAGCAACCTTTTGTAGCAACATTTTTTAAGAAACTAGTACCTAGAAATGCCCCTAGCAACAATTCCTTAGTAATTATCCCTCAGAAACGCCCCTAATAGTAACTCCTTAGAAACCTTCGCTTAAAAACCCTCCTAGCACCATTTCTCTAGCAACTATCATTTAAAAACGCCCCTAGTGACTGTTACCCAGCAGCAATTACTTAGCAACGCCGCTAGAAACCGTTTTCTAGCAACAATTCCTAACAAATTGTCCCCTACAAATTATTTTTCGTTAATTATTGCCCAGCAACGCCTCTAACAACTGTCGCTTAGCAACCATTGCTAAGAAAGGCCCCTAAAAAACAATTCCATGGCAACCACCATTTGGGAACGCCCCTAGTGACTATTGCTTAGCAACAATTGCTTAGCAACGCCCCCAGAAACCGTTTTCTAGCAAAAATTCCTAACTAACTATTTCCTAAAAATTATTATCTATTAATTATTACCTAACAACGCCCCTAACAACAATTCTATAGCAACTACCATCTAGGAACGCCCCTAATGACTGTTTCTTAGCAACAATTACTTAGCAACGCCCCTAGTAACTGTTGTTAAGCAACAATAACTTAGCAACACCCCTAAAAATCATTTTCTATCATAAATTCCTAAAAAACTGTTCCCTACAAATTATCTTTCATTAATTATTGTCTAGTAACGCCTCTAACAATTGTTGCTTAGCAACCGTTGCCTAGTAACCTTAGCCACGCCCCTAGCCACGCCCCTAGCAACTATTATCTACCGACAAGGCATCAAAAAATCACCATAATTTTTCTTCTTGGAAGAAAAAAAAGAGATTAATACCGATATTGATAATTAATAAGACGCCTGGACTGTTATAATAAGAAATAAAGATAAATGGGCTTTAAGATTTACATCTTGTGGGAATAAAAGAGATATGAATCCATATATTTAATATAGTGTAATAAACAAGTGCATATACGGAAGATTTCTCATTATATGCTCGTATGCCACAGTTTAATTAACGCGCGGTCACGTACTTGATAAATCGCTGAGGTGTTAAAGGTGTCTGACCGTTTCATCAGGTTATGGAACCTTAAATAATCGACAGTAGATAATTACTTTTAATTACGTGTATTTATGCACCTTAATGCCCTAATAATTTATAAATAAATATTATTTTTAATTAGATTTAAAAATTGCTCAATTAATAATTTAAAATTCTTTATTATCGACTGCTGATTATTTTCAGTCTTTATCTCATGCATCATTTAATTATCGAATAAATGAAATAAACACAAGAAGCTTCAAGTGGACTTACAATTTTAATTGGACGTGGTTCGTATTAATATTCTTTATTATTATAATTATTATGAATAACTTGTGTTTTATTCAGAATATTTTTTCTTTACTTCTCTCGTATTCATCTGATGAATTAATATCCTCATCAATTGGAAGCATAATTTTAGGAGCTGAAGAACTTTTAAGTTGAACTGAAGAGTGAATAAGTTCGTTAGCTTCTTTTCATTGCACGCTTGTCGCTTTTATTTTAATTTATTTCCGTTCATTGCAAATGTTTGATTGGGAAATTTACACCCTTAAAAGAATTATTATATTCTTTTTTACTGTATAAATTTTAATTAAAAAATTATTTTATTTTCGCATTATTATTATCTGTATAATTAATCTGGATAAGTATTTAGGCTGCATTAGAAAATGCTCTCAAGAGACATAATTAAGAAATGACCTTGTAACTTGTGACCTATTGACATTTTTAAAAATATAAGCTCGTCCTGATGTTACACTCATCGAGACCTTTCATTTCGGTACCCACATCAATTTTTCATATATTTTATATATTTATATATGTATGTATATATGTATATGTGAAAAATATATCAAAAATGCATGTGGGTACTCAAATGAAAGCTCTTGATGAGTCTAACATCAGGATGAGCTTATATCTGTAAAATATATATATATATACA